GCTCAGATTTATCAGAGATGATGAGGATGGCACAGGATAGGGCAAGGTTCAGATCTGTTGTTCACAGGGTTGCTATGAGTTGTACTTGACTTAATGTCACCTAACAACAGCAACAATGACAATGTAAGAACACCATGTACACAGTGGGCTTTGAGAATGTGGGTTCTCTTCCCTCCCTCTTATCCTCGTCCATTACAGAGAGTCATGCCCATTAAGCAGTAGGTTCCTCTTTCTGTCTCCCACCCACTTCTAGTAAGCAGTAGAAGTTTTAGTCTGTTTCCCTGTTTGAGATATTTTATGTAAGTGGAATCATACATTATCTACCTTTTTGTTTCTGACTTACTTCATTTGATGGACATTTAGGCAGCTGACTTTGGCTCTTAGGAATAATGCGTTAGGAAGCATTGATAAGTAAGTAGCAGCTTTCCTCCTGCTGTCAGGTCCTTGGGAATTGTAGGATCACATGCTTTAACTCTTTTACAACTGCCACAATGACTACACCATTTTACATTCTGCCCAACAATGAATGAAGGTTCTAATTTTTCCATATCCTTGCTAAAACTCTTTGTTTCCGTTTTTTCTGGTAGTAGCCATTCTGATGGGTGTGAATTGGTGCCTCATATATTTAATTTTTATTTGTATTTCCTATACCTGTGTGGGGAAAATGGTTAAAGAGAACTGAAAAGACTGGAAGATTGGAGGCTAGTGCCTTGAAAGAAAGACCTGGAGATCTACATTGGGAAAATCAAGCATTAAAGACCCTGGAACCTTGTATAACTCTGATACACAGAGGGTCACTGTGAGTTTAAGTCAACTGGGCAGCAACTGATTTTTTTGTTAAATAACTAATGACACTATCTTTTCATATGCTTATGGACCATTTGTATGTCATAGTTGGTGAAATGTCTGGTCATGTCTTTTCACCTATTCAGTTGGTTTGACTGTTTTTGTTATGTGAAAATTTAAAAATCTCTGTTTTTGTTTTTATCTAATGTATTTTACCACATGATGTTCCTCAACATACACACACACACACACACACACACACACACACACACGTATGTACGTACGTAAAGGAGCACTGGTGTTGTAGTTGATAGCATGTTAGGCTGCTAATTGGAAAATTGGTGATTCACATCCACAGCTCCTCTCTCGCAGGCACTCTCCTCTTGCAAAGATGTAAAACCCTAGAAACCCAGTTGAGGGTTACTGTGAGTTGGAATCTCTCAGTTGTTAGCCCATCAGTTCCTGGGGCCTTATTTTTTGCTGATGCCTTCAGTGCAGCTTGAACTTCTTCCTTCGTTAGTTACCGTTAGTTCTTGATCATGTGCTACTTCCAGAAATGACAGCTGATTCTGTTTGGTACAATGACTCTGTCTATTCCCCCTTTCTTCTTTGGTTCTTCCTAGATGATTCAAGATTTTGCCCATAGCATCTGTCAATGTAGCAACTCAAGGCTTGCATTTGTTTTTCAGTTCTTTGAGTTTGAGAAATGCCAAGTGAGTACTTCCCTTTTATTTTCTAACTCCTGCCTTTTGCACATTCTATTGTACTTGCCTTTGTCTTCTTGAGCTGTTCTTTGAAATCTGTTCATCTCTTTTACTTTGGCATTTCTTTCCTTTGTTTTATCTTCTTGGCTCTCCAGTGCAATTTTCAGAGTCTTTTCGGACATTTACTACCATCTTTTCTTTATCCACTGTCTTTTTTTTTTTGTCTTTTTTTTTTTGTCTTTTTAAGCACCTCTTGGTTTCTTCATGGATGATAAACTTGATGTCATCTCACAGTTCATCTAACCTTTGATCATTAGTGTTCAGTGCCTCATACTTTTTCTTATGATGATTTTTAAATTCCGGTAGGATAGACTAAAGGTTGTATTTTGGTTCTTGTGGACTTCATTTCTTTGGCTTCAAAAGTCATGATCTTTTCTGTTACTTGCTATGTATCTGCAAGTTGGACAGTGACTAATGATGACAGAAAAACTGATGCCTTTGAGTTGTGCTTTTGGAAAAAAGTGCTGAATAATTCCATTGATTGAGAAGATAATAAACAATTTTATCTTAGAGAAAGTGCAACCAGTATGCTCCTTAGAGGCGAGGATGACAGAGCTTCATCTCACATATTTTGGGCATGTTGTCAGGAGAAGGCAGTCATTGGAAAAGGACTCATGCTTAGAAAGGTGAAGGGTCACTGAAAGAGGAAACCCCTGAGGGAGGTGGATTGACACAGTTACTGTAACAGTGGGCTCAAATATACCAGAAATGGTGAGAATGGTACAGAACAGGGCGGGGTTCAGATCTGTTGTTCATTGGTTTGTTGTGTGTGTTACTTAACTTGACAGAACATAACAACAACAAATATGAGTTCCAGTCCACTGGACAGCAGTGGATTTCAGGGGTGTGTAATGGCAATCATTATTCAGTCAAAACTCTTGTTTAGAATGTTGCAGTGGAAGTTTTAAAAATATCTCATAATTTCTTACATTGTTTTCATATTCTCATGTTTATATTTGTCTCGTGACCAGTTCATTGAAAGAGCTGTAAAGAAAAACCCTTTTTAACTGACTTTTTAAAGTTTTTTGTAATGTAAATAACTTCTTTGAGAGTAAGAACAAATGTGTGATATTTATTTTTTATAGTTATTTAAATTGTATAGGCATGAAACTAGATATAAAACCTTATGGTTTTTTACAATTTTATAATCCAAATCTGCAAAATAAATACAATTACAGATACTAAAAAATGCAAATAAATGCAATTTTTCAGTTTAACTGATGATTAGGTTTCTTAGTCAGAAAAAAATTGGCATTCTGATTATATTGTAAATTGTTTCTGTATTGTAACGTAAGTGATAATAAAAGTTATGAGTGGCTCTTCTTGTAAGTAATTTAGTGGGAAATGGTATTGACTCCAGCTCTTTTGTTTTTTACTTCAAAATAATCACTCATATCTAACCACTTACCAGCAAGTGTTCCTCGCATCTCAATTTTAAAAAGATGTCAGTTGTTTTGTTCATTCCAAGATAAGGTTAACATAATGACATTGAAATCTTCATTAAATGGTTCTCTAAACCAGTTATTACTGTAAGTAAGAATGAAAAGTCATTGCATATTTATAACCACATTGTCTGTTACTGAACTTTGGCAGATTGTACGGTAAGATTGGTAAGACCTCCTAGTGGAGTTGGTTCTGGCTCGCTGTTACCTCCATTGGGCTATTGAGACTATGAATCACTGTAGAAGGAGATTTTTGCCCTATTTTTTTCCTCTTGGAGCCACTTGGGATTCAAAGCTCTATAGCAGTTTGAACATTTGACTGTGGGTATTATATTGATGACATTGAGAAGAATGGGAATCCCAGAGCACTTAATTGTGCCAATGTGAAACCTACACCTAGACCAAGAAGCTGTTGTCTGAGCATAGCAAGGGAACACTGCATGGTTTAAAAATCAGGAAAGGAGTGCATCAAGGTTGTATCCTTCTCCATACCTGTTTAATCTGTGTGCAGAAAAATCACTTGAGAAACTGGACTATATGAAGAATAATGTGGCATCAGGACCAGAGGAAGACTCATCAATGACCTGTGTTATGCAGATGACACAATGTTGTTGAAAGTGAGGAGGACTTGAAAGACTTGTTACAGAAGATCAAGGACTATAACACCCTTCAGGATGGGTTACATCTCAACATCAAGAAAACAAAAACCCTCACTAGCAGACCAGTAGGCAACAAAATGGTAGATGGAGAAGTGATAGAAATTATCAGTGATTTCGACTTACATGGATCTACAGTCAGCACTAGCAGCCAGGAGATCAGATTTGCATTGGGTAAAATCTGTTGTCTGGGGCCTTTCCAAAGTGATGTAGTCTATTTAAAGACTAAGGTGTACTCTGCATCTGAAATTTGGGCAGTGAATAAGGATGACAGAGAAGAATGTGTTCTTTGAGTGTTGTATTGGAGAAAAGTAAAGAATATCCCAGGGACTACCAAAGGATAAAAAAATATATCTTAAAAAAATGTAGCCATGGTGCTCCTTGGAGGCAAGGATAGTGAAATTTCATCTCATATGCTTTTTGAGACGTTGCATGAACATAAAATGCTAGTGGAGATATATATAGATAATAATAAGTATGAGCTTTTGCCTCAGGTTGCTTATAGTTTCATAAGGGAAAGAAAAAATGAAAAATCATATGTTATTAGTAAACATTTGCTCCTTAACTATAATGTCAGTACCTGTCTCATCAGCACCTGTCATTGAAGAGTGTGGTTGAAGGTGAATATGTCTGTGTGTCTGAGGAGGTGTTGGCGACCAAAGATCACTCTTAGAGTTGAGCCGCAAAGATTGAATAGACATGGTGCTAATATTTTCCTAGTCATTTCTGTAACTAGGTTGCTTATGTGGTTAGAGCAGATATATAGCTATATAGTTATTGATGTTGTCTGTTTGGCATCAGGAGAGGAGAGACCTCTGATCTTAGATAGTATGCCCATGTCTTTCTTGGGGTGACCGTAGGAGAAAGGAAGTTGGTTCAATATAAATATATTTCCATTACTTCATTAACAAAAACCTTCCAGACAACATTTCCTCAGTACGCTGAGTTTGTAGTAGTGTTTTAACACATGGTTGCTCAATGGGGAATACTAATTAGTGTATAGTTTTAAACAGATAAACGAATCTAGTCATTAAAAAATTTAAATAAACTTTATTTCAAATGGAAGAACAAATGCTCACCTTGGTGAATACACGTGTGACAGAGTTTTTCTATACTTGGAAATTTTTTTTAAGAAACTCTTGGTCCAAATTTCATATTTCTTTCGCCTCTTACCTGTAGCTCTCAACAGAATTCCTAATTTATAAGGGCAACAAAGTTTTTATTTCGATCATTGCATAGAGGTTTTTTATTCTGAAAGAATCAAGAATATGTTACTGTAGTGAATATTTATTGACTTCAGACTCTTAACCTTGAATTTTTTGTCTAACAGAATATTATCCTTTTCTTTCAGCTTTACAGTGTTTCTGCCACCTCTGTACAAAAGATAATTTTACATGTGTGACAGATGGACTCTGTTTTGTCTCTGTCACAGAGACCACAGACAAAGTTATACACAATAGCATGTGTATTGCAGAAAGCGACCTAATTCCTCGAGACAGGCCATTTGTATGTGCACCTTCTTCAAAAACTGGGTCTGCTGCTACTACAACATATTGCTGCAAGCAGGACCATTGCAATAAAATTGAACTGCCACCGACTGGTAAGTTATTAGATTTTTTTCCCCCTTAATACTGCAAAAAGCTTTGAGGTACTGATAGTACTTTTAGAACTAGAAGGAAACTTAGACATCCTCTAGTTCAGTGTGTTCCGTTTAGAGGCAAGAAATGCCTTGTCCATGGTTGGCAAAATTTGGAGAATGCCCAAGATCTTGACTTCTGGGTATATATTTTTGAGAGAGTAGATCCAGTATAAACTGGCTGAGGTCTGTTAATCTTAAAAGTCAGTCTCATTATAAAATCCACAGCACCACTATGTCCTCAGAGTGCTCTTAGAGTTAATTTAAATTTCTTTACCTTATTTCCTATCTTTTAAAACAATGAACAACTTCTTAATGGCTAGAGATTAAGAACAGCATTAAATAGTTCAGATGACTTCATTTTATAAATTCACCTTGATTTATGTATCAATCATTAAACATGACTTTGAGATTTTTGGTTCTTTACACATTATTTAGTAGTCTTGGTGGCACTGTCGCTAAGTGTAGACTCCTAATTAAAAAGTTGCCAGTTCAAACCCACTAGCCACTTTGTGGGAGAAAGATGAATTGAAAACTGAGATTACAACCTTGGAAATTCCATGAGGCAGCTCTGGTGGTTTGTCTTGAAATTGATTCAATGGCAATGACTTTTAACAGGTGTACTCATAGCTGCTCTTTTCATTTTACTTGGATCCACGATTCGCAGCCATGGTAACAGCAGTCAGGAAAGCACAAGATCTGTTGCATGGGAAAATCTGCTGTCAAGGACCTCTCCCAAAAGTGCTAACGAGCAGCGATGGCTGTTTAAAGACCAAAGTGTGCTGGATCTAAGCCATGTTATTTTCAGTTACTTTCTCTGCATCTGAAAGTTGGATAGTGAATAAGGATGACAGAAAAAGAATTGATGCCTTTGCATTTTGGTATGAGTGAAGAATATTGACTATACAGTGGGCTGCCAAAAGAACAAAATAGTCTCTTTTGGAGGAAATATAACTAGAATGCTTCTTAGCGGCAAGTATGGTGAAACTTCGTCTCACATACTTTGGGCATGTTGTCAGAAAGGGTCAGTCTTTGCAAAAAGACACCATGCTGGGGAAGGTAGAAGATCAAAGATACAGAGGAAGACACTTAACAAGATGTATTGGCACATTGGTGGTAACAGTAGGCTTGAGCATATCAGAGATGATAGTGGAGGATAGGGTCAGATTCTGACTATTGTTTAGAGGGTTATACGAGTGGTAGTTGATTTAATAGCATAGCTTGCTTTAAAATGTCCTGCCAGACTCAGGAATTTAAAAGCTTCAAAAACTCAAGATTGGATTAATTTAAAATTCTAGCATAAGATGTCATTTGGAGCCTCTGTGTTGAACTCTACCATTTTCCTCAAGCACCTCTGTCCCCTACCCCCAATTCTTACTGTAGTAATCCAAAGACTATGTTGTTGGTATGTGCCATCTAGAGCTTGCGACTTACAGTGACCCTATGGACAATAGCCCTGAAACCTGCTCTATCCTGTGCCAATTTTACAACCTCTGACACACTTACCCTCATTACCCCAGTCACTGAATCATTTCATCTCATCAAGGGTCTTCTTCTCTTGTGCTGTCCTTCCACCCTTCCAAGCATGATGTCCCTCTCCAAGGACTGGTTCCTCCTTGAAGCATGCCCAGAGTATGTCACATGAAGCCTCAGCATCCTTGCCTCCAAGGAGCAGCCTGGTTTCACCCTCTCTAGTATGAACCTGCTTATTCTCCTGGCAGTCCATGGTATATTCAGTACTCTTCTGTAGCACCACAGCTCAAAGGCATCAATTATCCTTCTGTCATCGCTAGTCATTGTCCAGCTTTCTTATGTATAGCAAGTAATTGCGAAGACTATGGCCAGACTATAAGAAAACTTAATATTAATTTTCATATTTATATTAATGCTAGGAAAATTAAAAGAATGCTACCTACATTCAGTTTTTTTGAGGAATTTCTATAGTTTGTGGTACAGATGATACTATATGAAAAGATTTATTGCAAAATCTTACTAATGTTTTACACTGCCTTCGTACCTATTTAATCTGTATGCCAAGCAATTAATTCAAGAAGATAGACTTTATGAAGAAGAATGTGAATCATTAATTCACATAATCCTCCTATGAGGATATGAGGATGGGTCAGGATAGGGTGAAATTTTGATTTGTGGTCAGCTTGATGGTGCCTCATAATAATAACAACAACCTTAAGCCGAAGGACTAAGAGTGAGGATAGACCTTAGGGATGGGCTCTTGATTCTGCTTGAGAAAGCACCTTATTTCAGTATTCAGAGGCATAGTGACAGCATTAATTTTCCCTTCAGATTTGGGGGAGGCGTTAATGGCCAGTGGTGCCATTTGCCAAAGGGAGTCAGTCCTCTGCTCAGATCAAGTGATACAGTCAGTCTCTTTCTTCCTGCTGTTGCTTTGGAACTGAGTCATTGGGTTCCTGGGTCTTTAAATCACATAGAAGAGATTGCCCATCTTTCTCCCAAAGATAATAGAGTAGTAAAATGAAATCTTTAGTCTTACAAAGGAAGTTCCTCATAGCCAGACTTTACAAGACTATAATTTCTTTCTCTTTTCATATCAACATTTGTACTTCAAATATGATGGAGAAAATAATTCCAGAATTTTCCATTTTTAGGGGAGCTCTGGTGGCCTAACCTGTAGAGGCTAACCTAGAATTTCCCATTTTCATATTTTGAATTTGAAAGATCTGAATGGAGACTTACTAAGCCTTATTAAGAACTTGGGTTATTTCTAATGTTAAACAAATATTATAACGTCATTCTTAGCCCTAAGTTAAACAAACAGCAACCAAAAATGACCAAATGAAAAGATAGAGTCACTGAAAAGAAGTGGCTATATAGGATAAATCAGAGTAGTGATACCTCATGAAATTGGCTTTTACAGTAGGATAGAGAAATACTTTCAGTCTTAGACCCATTTTCAGTCCTTCATTTTGAAATGAGAACATTCCACAGTAGTTTGAAGATCATTTTCAGATGAGAAGTTAAACTGATGCTTGTTTATTAAGAAGCAGTAGTGATAATAAGTAGTAGACTAGACATTATCATTTACATTCATGCTTTAGAGAAAAGATCATGAGAACTGTATGGGATCAGGCAAGATTTCAATCTGTTTGGTTGTCCATGGAGTCACTGTGAGTTGGAGTTGCCCTGACAGCACCAAACGACAACAGCAAGTGATTCAGTATTCTCTAAAGGATTCCAGAAAAGGACCCAAGAGCTAACAAGAGAGAAGAGTGTGAGGCAAAAGTTACAAAAAAGACTTCTCCATGTGTAGAGATGCCAAGTAAATTTGTCGATAACAATATATATGAACTTGGTAAGCAAACCAGTATAAGATAAAAATTTTATTTGAATAAAAAAAGAATAACATTTTAGATATACAAACCCAAGAAAATAATGATTAGCTGGTAAGACACTGTGCTACAATCCCAAAGGCACTTAGTTTGAATCCATTAGCTACTCCATGGGAGGATGATGGGCACTTTCTTCCTGTGTAATTAACTGCCTCTGAAAACCTACTGAAAAGTCAGCTGTGGGTCGGTTCAGACTTGACAGTATATGACGACAACAACTATGAACATAGGCCGGCCTTGCTATAAGAAGACAACTGACAAAGGCTTTTAAGAGATATTAATGGAGTTACTATGTATTATTGGTTGCTTTATTAATAGCCTGAGGGTAGTATTTAGGAAGGACTTGGAATAGTGGCAGTGACTGGCCTGTGATTTAGATGCAAGTTAGAGGATACAGAGAAGTAGTATGTTCCACTGGAGCTGATGATCATAAAAAGAAGGACCAGTGAGAGAAGACTGGGTCAGTCTGGGTTTGAACCCTGGAGCTTCTGTGTAACTTTAAACTATAGGAAATGTGGATGCTACTTGTAACAGTTTTGTTTTTGTTGATGTTTATTTCACTTTTTGGTCTGTTCTCAGTAAAGCCAACACCTGGCCTTGGTCCTGTCCAGCTGGCTGCTGTTATTGCTGGACCAGTCTGCTTTGTCTGCATCTCACTCATGTTGATGGTCTATATCTGCCATAACCGAACTGTCATTCACCATCGAGTGCCAAATGAAGAGGATCCTTCATTAGATCGCCCTTTTATTTCAGAGGGTACTACATTAAAAGATTTAATTTATGATATGACTACATCAGGTTCTGGATCAGGTAATGCCATCTTTCCCCTTTTTTCCTAAGAAAAAAATTTATATTTATCTTTTTAGAGCTCCTCTTTAGGGTACACAGTTAAGTGCTGAGCTCCTAACTGAAAGGTTTGTGGTACAAATCCACCCAGAGGTACCTCAGACGAGAAGGCTGGTTGATTTGTTTTTGAAAAATCCTATCTGTGAAAACTACAAAGGGAAGTTCTACTTTGTAACACATTGGATTGGCATAGTCAGCATTGACTTGACAGCAACTATTTAATTTTATTAATTAGATAAATTAGTTGATTTACTTTGTTAAAACTTGGAGTAATGCAACCTATATTTGAGGCTAGTAAAGGTCTATACATGTTCTTAGGAGAGGCTATTCCTTGGAAAGGGCCATCATGCGTGGAAAGGTGAAGGGTCCACAAAGGAGAGGAGGACCCTTAACAAGATAGATTGATAGAGTGGCAGTGGGCTCAAATGTGTCAGGGATGAACTAGGATAAAACAGAGTTCAGATCTGTTGATCATAGAGTCACTGAGTTGTGCTAACTTCAGTGGTTTTTAACAACAACAAAGGTCTGTAACCTTGCTCTGTTTCTAACTATGGCTAATTTAGTATAAATACATTAGAACTTGGTTTTATTATTGAAACAAATCAATAATTCAGCTTCATTAAGTATATTAATTTAAAAGTATTCTTTCTCATTTATGTAATCATATTCATTTCTTGGGAATATGTGAGATAAGAAAGGACGGTTATTCTTATGTAGGTAAGGCTGAGACTCAGAGATGATCATATAATCTGTTCATGTAACTGCCAGTTCTATCTAAGATTATTCAGTAGAGTTCTTTATATTTAAAAGAAGGCATGACAGAAAAAAGTATTAGGTTATTTGCTTTTTATTTTTTTATATTTATTTTTATTTTATATTGTTTGCATACAGAATTCGTATACATTGTGTTTTATAAGTATACATTGTGCTTCACACATTCCCTCATTCACTGTGTCTCATACTATCATTCCCATACATTGTTTTCTAAATTAATCCCCATTGATCTGTGCACACTATTACTCCATGTTTTCAGGTCCCCACTGGATCCCTCCTAATTCCTTCACCCCTTCCCTTCACCTAGCAATCTCCAAATATGTGAAACTGCTGTTTAAACATGGGCTTTTTTCAATATTATTATTAAGCAAGTGAATCCCTAGTAAATTTTTTTTTTCACTTAAGCGTGATCTAACTGAAATGTTCCTGAATGTACCTTAGTGGATCCATAGCCCCCATGGTGTTTGCTTTTCTCAGGTGTGTTTGTTGATTTTGTACAATCTTAAATAGAGTGGCTAAATGGCAAAATTATCTCCTAAAGTGCATTTTGGCATAGTAGTACTTCATATTTAAGCCAAAGGATAACTATATATTTTTCCCCCTTACATGCAGTTTGGAAGAATCCAGAGAAAGAAACACTTCTATCCCCAGAATATTGGAACTTGATAACTGGGCTAAAAGTAATGAGATCTGGATTCCAATCCAGACTTTGTCATTACTTTGCTTTTTGACCAGTGTTTCCTTTTTGACTTTCCTGTCTTCATTTATAAAATGGAACAGACAGTGCTTATAATAATACTTAAAGAATTGTTAGTACCCTTAATATATTTTATCCTTTCATAGCATCCATGATGACGGCAAGAGTCATTAAAAATATAGGGGAAAAAAGAAAGAAATGGATATGAGAATAGACTCTGAAACTTGTTCTAGAATGTAGAGAAACTAAATGCCCATGTAGAACCTATATGTAGATCAAGAAACAGTCATTTGAGCAGCACAAGAGGACACTACTGGATTAAAACCAGGAAATACGTGTGTGTCAAGATATTGTCCCTTCACTGTACTTGTTATTTTTTTATGCTGAGCACATAATCTGAGACAATGGGTTAAAAGAAGGAGGACCTGGCCTCAGAATTGAAGGAAGAGTCATTCACACCCTGCCTTAAAGCAAATGACACAACCTTGCTTGCAGGAAAAGAAAAGGTGAAACACTTACTGATGAAGGGGGAAAAGTATAACCTTCAGTGTGGATTATACCAAAGTATAAAGAAAACAAAAATCCTCACAACAAAACCCATAAACAAAGATTGAGTTGTCAAGGATTTCATTTTACTTGGCTCCATGATAAACACCCATACAAAAATCAGCCAAGAAAAACAACATTGAATTAGGCAAGTGACCTCTTAAAAGTGCTTAAGAACAAGGATGCCACTTTGAAGAATAAAGTGTCCTGACCTAAGCCATCTTATTTTCAGTTACTCATACACATGTTTAAGTTGGACAGTAAATACAGAAGTTTGAAGAAGAATTGATCCCTTTGAAATATATCTGTGAAGAATATTGAATGGACAGCAAAAAGAACAAATAAATCTGTCTTGGAATAGTGCAGCCAGAATATTCCTTATAAGCAAGGATGGTGAGACTTTGTCTCACATACTTTTTGGGCATGTTATTAGGAGTTACCAATTTCTGAAGAAAGACACCGTTCTTAGTGATCCATGAAAAAGGTGAAATGTTTTGTCATAGTGGCCGGAACAGTGTGTTCGGCCATAGCTGAGGTAGTGATGAGGGGATAGGGCTGCACGGCATTTTGTTCTGTTGTGAATAGAGGGTCTCTTGGAGTCTCAGACGACTCAGTGGCCCCTAACAACAGCAACACCCTTTAAACACACAGTGGAAAGTGGTTGAAACCATTGGCTACTAACAGAAAGGATAGACGTTTCAGTCTAATAGCTGTCCCTGGGAGAACGATGTGGCATTCTCCTTCTCCAGAAGCAGAAGTCTGGTGATATAAACATTTGGAAAGCCTGTGGATAGCTTTGCTGTGTTCTTTTGGGTAACTTGGGAGCTCTGGTGGCATAAGTGGTAAGGAGTTAACCCGGAGGCACGTAATTTGAATCCTCCAGCTACTGTGTGGGAACAGAAAGGGCATTCTCTTCCTGTGTGATTTACAGCCTCTGAAAACCTCATTGGAGGGTCAGCTATGAATCGGTTCTAGCTCAACAGTCCGCAGCAACAACATCGGATCAGAATAATTACCCATCTTTCTCCTATGGAAAATATACTCGGTATTGATTTAGTAGCTTAGCTATGTATAGTCTTTGAAAAGGGTGTATCAGCTTCAAGCAAAGGCTGAATTCATGAACACAATGAAGATTTGAAAACAGAGTGAAAATTTCACTAATTTTCCAGTTAGATAACATTAATGGGTGCAATTTAGTTAGGAAGTTATTCTAGATTAGAGTTATGATAAGCAGGGACCAAAGACATGACAGGTGGTTCAGATCCACCAGTTGCTCTGAGAGGAAAATGTTTATTCCCAGGGAAATTAAAGCAATTCATGCCAGTTAACATAGTGACATCTATCAGGCTTCAGAGGTAACAGATCTACCCAAATGACTAAAGAGATTGCTGTAGGAATGACAATTGATTTCTGAGTTAGAATACGGTCTCTTTTCCAGTGCAGACATGAAGTGCAGAAGTGGAATTAATTGTACTTCTGCCATATAAAAGGAACTCTGGTAGCCGAGGGGTAAGGAGTTGTGCTGCCAGTACAAAGGCAGGCAGTTTGCACAGCTACTCCAAGAGAGGAAGATGAACAGTCTCCTAGTTTGCAATTTACAACCTCCGAAAACCACGGAGAGTGAGCTGTGAGTCAGTTCTGACTCGATAGCACAACCAAATGTAATAAAAAAAAAGTTTTTTTAGATCTTCTAGGGATTACAATTTTCTAGTTTCTGAAAGTTTCTCCTTTTATGTATTATCTCTCAAAAACTTAACTACTTTATCTGCTAGCTCTGTGGTTTTGGGCAGTGAACTGATATTTCAAGTTACTTTAAACACAAAATGATGAAACCTGCCCTGTGTACACCATTGCATTGTGAGGTTGAAATGAGATGTTTGATTAGTTACGTCTAAAGGACAGGTGTTAGTCTTACTGAAAAGTGTTTTAGTAGAAAAATCTGAGACCAACATTATCAGTTTATTTCATTGTTAAATCCTGGTGCAAGGCCTTTAAACTATTAGAGTTCATAGCCTCCTAATCTACCCAGGCAGAAGTTATCACCTGCTGAGGGACAGCAGAAAGTGGCTTGCTCTTCTCTTCTAGTCATTGAAGAGCCCAATGCCACCTTGGGCTTGGGCCTGGTGCTTATAAATAAGTGTCTATTTAGAATACCCTTTCCATTCTTTCATTTAATGAGGAAACAGTAAAGCAAAATTTTTTATGTTAGTAACATATTAGTTTAATACTGTGGGCCATGACTATAACTACTAACTTCTGGTTTTTTAAGGTTGTACTTTAACATAAAAATGACAAAGAGGACAATGGAGAGTTTGATTCTGGCAGCACTAACTTTGAAGCTAACCTAATCCTTAATTTAGTGATATGAAGTACTAATGTCCACGTGCCCATGTTTAAATTATATTTTAATTTAAAAGTATGTCTGTGAGTGGCCACATGCATGCATGTTTTTGAAGGAGAGTCTCTTAGACAATGTTTGTTATGTCTTGGGCATGCTTTTAATGTCTTATAATACATACTGCTATTCATAGGGTTTTTAGAGGCCTGTTTTTTAAGAATTGGATGGCCAGTCCTGCTTCCTAGCCTGTCTTTATCTAGGAGCTCTTCTAAAACCTGTTCACTATGGGTAACCCTTGTGGCATTTGACACACCATTGGCATAGCTTTCAGTATCACAGCAACCCCACAGCTTATCTAAGTACAGAAAACTGACAAGTGTTGAACCAATTAGAACAAGCTCTGAAACAGTAGAGGAGCTGGATAATTATACTATTAGTGGTAGAGCGCAGACTGAAAGTCGAAATGAGGAAAAATAATGGCAAGTGTCATTTAATAAATGGAACATGGATTGTACTTAGCATGGATGTTGGAGAACTAGAACTTTTGAAAAATTAAATGAAACTTTTGAACATTAACTTTCTAGGCATTTGTGAGATGAGATGGACTAG